GAGTGGCCACCGGGCATTTAGGGAATCTACAGAAGATGAGAATCCATATACACCACCACCAGAAGATCAAGTATAAAATGTATCTTTGCATTCTAAGCTAAAATGTATCTTTGCATTCTTTACATTCTAAGTTAAAAGATTTGTGGGAGAAGAAGGGACTCAAATCGGGTTCCCAGATTGGGAGTTAGAGCTAGATTTAGCACGAAACTTGGCACACACGACCGCCTAGGCATGAGAGACTTGTGGGAGAAGACGGGGCTCGAATCGGGTTCCCGGTTTGGGAGTTAGAGTCGAATTTCGGTCTAGGCAAACTAGTTCTTTAAGAAACTTGAATTCGAGGTGTTGACGCCTCAAAATCATCAAACGACGTCGGTTTAGCACGAAACTTGGCACACACGACTGCCTAGGCACGAGAGACTTGTGGGAGAAGACGGGACTCTGATCGGGTTTCCGGTTTGAGAATTAGAGCCGAATTTCAGTCTAGGCAAACTAGTTCCTTAAGAAACTTGAATTCGAGGTGTTGACGACCCAAAATCACCAAACGGCATCGGTTTAGCACGAAACTTGGCACGCACGACCGCCTAAGCACGGGAGACTTGTGGGAGAAGACGGGACTCCAATCGGGTTCCCGGTTTGGGAGTTAGAGTCAGAGTCAGATTTCGGTCTAGACAAACTAATTCCTTAAGAAACTTGAATTTGAGGTGTTGACCCCCCAAAATCACCAAACGACGTCAATTTAGCATGAAACTTGGCACACACGACCGCCTAGGCACTAGAGACTTGTGGGAGAAGACGGGACTCCAATCGGGTTTCTGGTTTGGGAGTTAGGGCCGGATTTCTGTTTAGCCAAAATTATTTACTAAACTATCTTTGTAATTATATAGTAGTTAATTTTTTTATGTTTTTCTGTAATTAAAATATTAACACAATTATATTGTCATTAATTATTTTTATTTTGTTATTTTCAGATATTTCCTGAGTAGCAGTTTGCTTCTTGTGGAATGCAGGCGTGTAAAGATTATGACCAACTTTTGTTTTTGTAACCCACGGAAAATTCATGACGAAAACTTTTGTTTTTGATTTACGTTATTTGGATTTGTGAACAACATTATGTATGTATTATGCAACATTATGTAGTGGGATAATTTTTATTGTTATGTGTTAGGTTTTATTTCTTGGCAATCCCGTTTGACAAAACTCCTTTGAGTTGTAATTTTATTCGCATTTTTTCAGTGAGACTATAAGTTGTTAGATGCGAATCCAACCCGAATCAAGTATTTCAGAGAAGTTTGTGATGATAAAGCAAAATGCAAAAATGCATTCAAAGTTGCCTGTCCGATCATGTTATTTTTCCAGTTTTTCCAGTTTTGGCCTTCCCGCTCGAGCGGGGAAAGTGCCGCTCGAGCGGGGATTGGAAGCTCTCAGCATCTCTGCAGTCGCCTGTAAAAATACTGGAATGTGTGATTTTACGCTCGAGCGGATGCTCCTACGCTCGAGCGCATCTCAGTTTGTTCGCACGCAGTTTTTGGTCAGTCCGCTCGAGCGGGCTGTGTTGAGCTCGAGCGGAGATCGCGGGACAGATTCTATAAATTCGCGTGTTGGGTCAGATTTTAGGAGAACTTCTCCAGATCTTCTTTTTGGTTTCTAGGGTTTATATCTGGGGATACTTTGGGAGTTTTCTTTGATGTTTTTATTGAGTTTTCAACTCATGATCTAAAGAGAGTACATCAAAGGTTTGTTTGCTATACACAAAAGAGAGAGTTATTCTTCAGTTGTGGATTCTGAAGAATTCGAGCCTGAAGCTCTGGTGGAATCCGGAGTGGCTCATCAGAAAGACAATTCCGTGGTGAAGATGGGGTTGGAAGAGGCACATAAAGGTTGGTTCAATTAGGCGTTGTGGATTCGCTAGGTAATTGAGAGTATACCTGTGTAATTCCTTTAATTCTTCTTAGTGGATTGTTCTTGTGGCTGTTGCCCGTGGTTTTTTGATCACAGTTGGAGGTGTCCAATTGTGGTTTTTTCCACGTTAAATCACTGTGTCTCTTTGTCTTGATTGTTTGATTGTTTGATTGGGATTGTTATATTCTGCTTAAAATTGATATATAATCACAAATCAACATCTAGGGGATTTCTAGTTTTTTCATTATGAATTTTTATTTATGTATTGTTATGGATGGAACAACATTATGAATTTTCATTATGTGCCAACTTTTGTTTATGTATGTATTTATATTATTATGTAAGTATCGGTTTTTTTTTATAGTTATTTTTCATTTAATACAGGTTATTTTCATAATTTTAATAATTTTATTACAATTTTTTTTTTTTTTTATTACATGTTTTTTTTTTTGAGACGGCACCACACACACTTTCTCAAAAGGAAAATAAAACCAGGGTTTTTTGCGACGGCAGTAATGCTGTCGCAAAAGATAAGGGAATTAGTTGAAAAGGAAGACCTGTAGCGACGGTGTTATTGTCGTCACCAATAGTACTTTAGCGACGACATCAGGTGTTGTCTCAAATAACCCTTTAGTGACGGTATTTTTGCCGTCGCAAATAACCCTTTTAGCGACGGTAACACAGTGCTGTCTCAAAAAAACTCAGATTTTCACGCATTAATGCCGACAGAATTTTTCCATCGCAAAAAGGTATTTTTGCCGTCGCAAAAAAAAGCGATGGCGTTATGTCGTCGCTAAAACCCTTTTGCAACCCCCTTTGTTGCGACCCCCCACTTGCCGTCGCAAAAAGTCAGTTACCGTCGCGAAAAACCTTCTGAGACGGTGTTTTGGGTATTTGTGACGGCATTTTGCCGTCGCAAAAAAGTAATTTTTTTGCCGTCACAAAAAAATAATTTTTTTGTAGTGTGTAGCACTATAAGTCTACAAATTTCCAAACCATAGCAGTAGCAGTGTGTGTGGAAGGAGGGACAAGTGTGTGGCAGGATGGTTGAAGGAGTGTGTGTACAATGGTATGAGTGAATGGTATAATTAATATATTTAGTGTGTAGATTGAAAAAATTAATTAATAATTAAATTATAAAGTGTGTGTACTGAGAAATTATATGAATTGAGATAATTAAGTGTGTGAAAATAAAATTTTCCCATATCAACTATTTACTTTTTTACACAAAAAAACTCAAAAAATGCTATAAAAAAAATAATTTTTTACCATTTTACCAAAACACCAATTCATAGATAGCGTTTATCATAGGCCTCCATGCGATTGTATTGAACCTCGGGATAGAGCTCACAAGCTTCTTCACCCACTTCCACTATATATAAAGGGTAATGCTAGAGACACCAAATTTTTTACCAAACAAATGACCAAATGTCTCACATGGGTGTGGGGTTCGCAATTTTGTGGGCCCCACACCCATGTGAGACATTTGGTCATTTATTTGGTAGAAAATTTGGGACCTCTAGCATTTTCCATATATAAATGCCCCACTCCTACTTCCCCAGCAAAGTCCATTTCTGCATTCATACATATATATATATATATAAACAATAAATTATACCGGATTTTAAATATCGTCTGTTATGTATTATATTAACCATTATGTAATGAGATTTTGACCTTTTTGATACTATTATTTATTGATATGTCGGCTGATGTTGTTCGATATCAACTCATATATGACCGTACAACCAATATTGATATATATCTTGATGTTTTTTAAAATTAGAAGGGGTTGTTTGGAGTGTCCTAAATCAGTGTACTTTTTGTCTTTTTAGACTAAAAAGTTGAGTAAAAAAATATGGATGTTTGGGTTAACTTTTTAACTTTTTATGAAAAAATATATATTAAAAAATTGTATGAATAAGTATATAGGGGAATAAAGTGATGGAATAGGCCGTACGGTTGGAAGCCTAAATGGCAAGGCAGCACAGGGCAGTGTAAGAGATTGATTCTCTACTTTTCATACATAAATTGGTCAGTTCTGTTCGGCCCATAGGGGCTGACCACGGGTCCCATTTTACTAATCGAGACCGTTCAATGTGTAGAACTCGTTGAGTACTATAAGCTTGTAAAAAATCACGTTGATTGGATATCGATAGCTATTTGATCGTGTTAGTTTTTTTTGTTAACTGTTAACTATAACACTATCCATTTTTTTACAAAACTGATTTGATCATGTATTTAGCGATATCCAATAGACGTGATTTTTTACAAGCATATAGTACTAGACGAGTTCTACATATTAAACAGTTCAGATTATCAAAGCGGGATTCATGGTGGATCCCCACGGGCCCGGCTCTACCATCCAATTTAGTGAATATTTTACTATAATTTTTTTTTCCCTCTGGTCACTGACTCCACCACCACGTCAGTATCAATATTGGGGCATTTTTTTGACTTGTATTAATATGTGTATATTATTTTTTTAATATTTTTTTTTGTGAATAGTGATAACTTTTTAACTTTTTGAGTAACTTTTTGAATTTTTAGATTTTTCAAGGGTTGCCAAGCTTTATTTATCCCAAGAATTTCTCAACTATTAGCAAATATCACTTTATCTCCCTTACTTATAAATTCGTATATTTTGACCACTCATTCAACTATGAAAATATATCACTTTCATATTTTACAAACCACCTCAAAAATAGGTGTATTTGTACGATTTTTATAGTCAAAGTGACCAATATGTATAGATTCATAACTGAGGGGATAAAGTGATATTCTCTAATAATTAAAGCGATTTTAGTGTAATAAACTCTTAAAATTATAAATTACTCTAATAAATTACTCTAATCTTTTCCGAATAATGAATAAATTATTGTTAACTGTCTAATGTGATTATGAGTTTTCAAACTAGTTTTGAATTTATGAGTTTTCAAACTAATTTTGAGTGGTATATTTTGAAAAGAGTTTTTAGAAATTTAAAAATTCAAAATTTATTTGATTATAAATTTTCAAAATTAGTTTTTGAGTTTTGACTTTCATGATTGTGTATATATATAATAGTATTTGTTGTACAACTCTGATTTGATTATTTGGTTTCATACAATCCAAGTGGTTAGACTGCAAAATTATAATAGTGACCACTTAAAAAAAAACATTATTGACCCACGAACAAAAAAAAAAAAAATTTTATTGACCGAATATTGCATAACAATAATCACACAACCGATAAATATTTTTAAAATGAATGTTTATATTGATTTATATAGGCGTTGTTACATTCCTTTAATGTTAATTCATTTCAAATTTTTTTTTTTTCCTTTCTATAAACAAAAGTAAATTATTAAGATATTATAGCGATCCCGGGTTTACCCTTGTTGTACAGTGATCCGGACTTGTGTCTGTGGATGTTGGTAGTTGATTATTATTTTGTTTACATCCTTTTACTTCGTATTTGAGTTATAGGATGTGTTGGACAGGTTTGTTACAGGTTGGTTGAGTTTAGAAACCAAAACTAGTTGCCCAGATTTTGACCTGTCCGCTTGAGCGGGGGTTTTGGCGCTCGAGCGGGAATTGCACCCATCCAGTATTTTCTGTGCAGTGTTGGACGCTCGAGCGTGGTATTGGCCGCTCGAGCAGGGTTGTGTGAGTGCCGCTCGAGCGGAGCTCCAGCATCAATGAGCTTTTGTTTTAGAGACCCCTCAACATGAAGAGATATGATATCTTTTGATGAGCCCACAAATTGCCCACCTATAAAAATTGCTGGGACTGAGGGTTGGCAACCTAGTCTTTGCAGCGCACGCTCCATGTCTCGCCCACTTGCATCGCGGTCAAGCTCATGGATTGCCGGGCTTGCACCAAGTTCACGAAACAGTGCCTCGATGCTATGGCACATGCAACATGAGCTCTTGGTGAAGATCACCGCAGCCTTCTTTGACGCCAAATCTCTAACTCTATCCATTTTTGAGAGTGTTGATGTTCAGAAACAGAGAAATTTCACAAATGCAATGCACGGAGAACAGAGAAATTTCACTAAAGCCAAGTGAGTCTAATGCTTGCTTATCTATGTTGGACTTTGAGCTTTCATCACCTCTTATTTATAGGTGCATTTGAAAGTAGTGGGAATGAATTGTTTAAACCAACAAAAACAAATAAAAAAAAGAAAAATATATAAAAGAAAGTTCCTCAAGATATTTGTTTGGATAAGAAAAAAAAAAATGTCCACGGTGATTTGCTTGATAATGACTCCTTGTGCTATAAACAAGTTGACACCTAGTGTATCATCCATAGCGATAATCTACATTGCTTAGAATGTTCGTACATCTGAAACAGTGTTAAAATTTTAAGTATATGAAGCAATATTAGAGCACGTATGATTGAATAAACAACAATTTGAAAGGGTTCGAAGAGGATATATTCTTCTAGCTTTGTATGAAAAACACTTTCTTGTGAGGCAACTTTCGGAAAGGAACCATTATTAATATAATTACATAAACATGCTAGATAGGGGATGAACTCCGTAGATACAGCTCATATGCTTGTCTAGAGAAGTGAAGATAGAGCTTTTATGCTTATCTTTGTGAAGTGTGGATATAGCTTATATACTTATTTGTGAATGTAGGATATTGTAGTTATACATATCTGTTGAGAATGTGGATATACCTTATATGCTTATCTGTGAATGTGAGATATAGTTTTTATATATATCTGTTGAGATGATGATAGAGCTAATATGCTTATCTGTTGAAAAAGGGAAAATGAAAAGTAACTTGGACTCATAAGTCGTATGACATAAATATGTGATTTATGTGAATGTATCAGTGTTGGCCATCTATCAATTGCTAATCTTTTAGTCATTGTTCATGGTTGGTTTAGTGTATTTCTACTGGGCTGTGGCTCACCCTATATGAGAATATCATTTTCAGGTACAGGTAGCATGCCACCTCCAAGGACATAGCTTGGGAGGCTAGAGGCGGACTTACTTTTGTCGTTTTATTTTTGATGTATTACATGTAAATTCAAGCCAAGGGCTAAATATGTAAATGAATTAGTACTCTTTTGTTGTAACCAAGTGTTAACTTGGAAAGCTGTAAGCCCGTAGGGCATTTTGCTTTTGTTGTTAACATGTAATACTTTTGTAATGATACTCTGATGAATGTAAGGTTGTGGGACTTTTATATATCAATGCATATTTATTTGATGGGTTTAATGTAGTTTTTTTTTTAGGGCGTTACGGATATCATTCTAATTATATTTATTTGTGAGATAATGCTTGAATTTTCATTTTAGGGATTAATTGGGCAATTAAGGTCGACTTCATGAGGTTGGAGAGGTATAAGACTACGGAAGAAGAGGCGAAAAAAAATAATTTAATGGAGCAAAAATTAGTCAAGCACTTTTTCTAACTCTTTTAACAGGAAATTCCAGGTAAAATAGTGCCCTAGCACCTATCCACAAATTTAGTTAAAAATATTTATTGTTGTATTTGCATAGAAATTAATCATAAAACTTGACGTAACTCTCTCAGATCGATTTTTATGTTTTATTTATTATAAATATTAGACAATCACTGGTGTTTTAAGGCAAAAGGACTCGTTTTTCTTGAATGTTTCAATGAAAAAGAACTAATTGTTTCAAGCCCATATGAAATTCATATTTAAAATACGGACACCAACTTGATTTGTTTTTTTTTTTTTTTTTTTGAAAAAAAAATTGACGATCTTATACTCTCATTCCCTCACAACAATGAACAAGTTATTTAAAAAAGCTTGTTGAGTTCTTCTGGTTTATTGAATGAGAGATTTCATTTTTTAAATAGTTATAGGGAATATTGTAATAAATTAAAAATTGAGAGATAAAATTTAATAACAAAATATTTTGATTATGAGAAACGTTATTATTATATTTTTATCAATAAAATGAGACATTTAGTAATTAATTCCTATTTTTCTGACATAAAAAATTTAGCCTAAAAAACTACTTTTAGCCTAAAAAACTACTTTTTGGCATGAAATCATTTTGTCTCGTAGCATTTATTATTGACATTTTCAAAATTTTGTTACTAAAGGTCATGTTTATTTTTATTTTTATTTTTATTTTTATTTTGAGAAATTTAGCCAAAACCCTTATATTGGATCATTGTTTGGTGAAATGACCTCACATTACAAAAATTTAATCTCAACCACACAGTCATTATTTTGGATCAATTTGGAGATCACAAGACTGGATTCCTAAACTTATTCAAATTTTAGTTTTAGAAACATAATGAAAAACATGGACATAACATGGTTGCTGACAAATAATAGTACATCAAAATGAAAAAAAAATTCCCCCTTCAAATCAATAAACTCCATAATTTCTCTCGAAAGCTTTTATTAATACATCATTATCAAAATTATACATATGTAATTTTGCATGAAGCTAGATATATATATATATATATATTTGTCTGTTCATAGATAACGTTTAAGGTAGGCCCCCATGCGATTGTATTGAACCTCAGGATAGAGCTCAGAAGCTTCTTCACCCTCTTCCCCTATTTCAAAGTTTGATAAGCATCCTTCATAGAATACATGGTAGAAATGCCCCACTCCTACTTGCCCAGCAAAGTCCATTTCTGCATACATACATATATATAAACAATAAATTATACCGGGCCTTAAATATCATATGCTATGTTACGTAATAAGATTTTGATTTTTTTAATACCATTATTTGTTAATATACCATATATGCCCGTATCACCAATATTAATATATATATCTCAATGTTTTTTAAAATTAAAGTTATTTATACCAAGAATCTCTTAATTATTAGTACATATCACTTTGTTCCCTTTACTTATGAATTCGTGCATTTTGACCACTCATTTAATTATAAAAATATAGTACTTTCATCTCTTACAGACCATCTCAAAAAGAGGTAAATTTATATGACTTTTATAGTCAAAGTGGCCAATATGTATGGGTTCAAAAAAGGTGTATTCGCTAATATATTAGTTGAAGGGATTTTAGTGTTTTTTTTTTTTTTTTTAAGGTTTTCAATGTTTTTTTTTTTTTTTTTTTGCTAGAGGATTTTAGTGTAATTAGCCCTTGAAATTATGAATTACTCTAATCTTTTCTGAATAATGAATAAATTATTTTTAACTGTCTAATTTTAACATAATTATATATGTGTTTTTTAAAAATGTAAATTTAATAATATTTTGATTCATACCTCTTGCCAAACAGGTAGAAAATGATAAATGTCATCATTTTTAAACCAAAAAAATCTATTTTACTTTTTGTAATTTTTTATGCCATCTAAATTTTTTTTCATTTTTTTTGGGTACCTTTCATGGAAGCAAGGAAGTCTTTGGGAGAGATGGTAAATTTCTCAAGTGTACGACCCAGAAGCTTTTCCCACTTCTCAACAAGCTGCATTTGGGTGAGGATGTTTTCAGGTGGCCTCAGGTACACTGTTTTGTTCAATGTACGAGGGTCATCTATGGTCTTGATTGTGTATGTTGCCACATCATCTTCATCAAGAAATATAACTGGTTCCCAACAAACAATGCAAAGTCCTAATGTATCAGTACTGTTATACAAAATAATTATATAAAAAATTTATAATAAATTACAATAATAGATGTTATAATTTATCTCTTGTGTAATTCGGTCGCTATAGTTTTAATTATATAATTTTTTTTTTAAATTTAAATATTGTGTCAATTTAGTCTTATTTATAAGATTCATGAAAGATTATGACATAAATCAAGAGCAAATTGATCTATTTCAAATGTATTGGACTATTTCAAATTGTACCGCATCCTACTGTATTTGGTTGAATTTTTCAGGCATAGTTTGGGAAGTTGGTTTTGGTGGGTTAGGGACTAAAATAGTCACAAAAAACAAAATAGGCTATTTTAGTCACAAAAAATAAAATATCAAATCTAACCCATAATTATTACACTCCTCTCTCACAAAAAAAGTCAAAAAAGTCAAAAAGCTCTTCCCAAACCAGGTTTTTTAGCCCCAGGCTAAAATAGCTAAAAAGTCAAAAAGTCAAAAAGCCAATCCACTTCCCAAACGGAGGCCCGGTTATGTTTTTAGAAAAATTTCAAAAACTAGTTGGTGAAAAAAAATTCAAAGATAAAATTAACACAATAGAACAAGGTCGACTAAAATTGAAAATAGAGACAAATAACATGGACTAATAGTGTAATTTATCAAAAAATAAAAATTCAGAAACTCTAGGATACAAAAAAAAAAAAAAAACGAGGAAAAAAAAAAAAAAAAAAAAAAAAAAAAAAAAAAACTACCCAAATTTTATGTACAATGGGATCCACACTTGAATTGAATCTCATCCCTTCAATGTGTTTTTTGAATTTTTTTTGGATAAATTTGAGGTATGGTTGCATTTCTGATAAAAATTATGTGGTTTTTCGATTGAATAATTAGTGTACCTTTTTGGTCACCATCACCGTAAATTCCCACTTTGTCCTTTGGAGGAAGGAGGGTACCAAGTTGAGAGAGGTTGCCACCAAAATAGCCAGCGAAACAATTAGCAGAGACATAAGTGAAGGGTATATGAGCTTCTTCAATGGCCTTCCTCACTCTCATCTTCTCATCAAATGTAACCTTTCCTGGTTCAAGTGCATTTCCCATTCTTGCTGGGTCCATTCCAAACTCCGATGGCAAGAATCTCTGCACAACATTAATGTTTACCGACATTTTTTTTAGATACATATATTCAACGACAAATCATACTGGCAATCAAGATTTTGTTATTTATGTAATTTTAATTCTTACACTTTTAATTGACTTAATTTTGACATTTCATTTTAGATTTTATATCAATTTGGTACAATTGATACGTTTTTACAGTTTTTGACAAAAAAATTATCATTAAGTTGATCAAGTTTATAATTTTTCTATTAAAAATATGACATATGCAGCTCATATATAATTTTTTTGTAAAAAAATGCTGACGATTATACCAATTAGACCAAATTAAAATAAAATTATAATTTCATAATTAAAATTGAATCAATTAAAATTATAAAAAAATAAAATATAAAAACTAGGTGTAATTTATCCTATACTCAATTTGAAGGTTATTGGAACACTCACAAATTATGTTATTGTCAATAGAGAATGAAAATTTGAAAATATCATCAGATCAGACTAGATAGATGAATTGACTAAACAACCACGAATGAGAAATTTATGTAAGTTTCAAAATATATATATATAGCTGTGATTAGGACCCCTCATATTCCCACCCCCACCACCCTACAGACACGTGGGGGTTGGTGAGTGGGAGAGAAGAAAAAAAAAAAAAACAATTTTAACCAATCAAAAGGCAAAGGGGGTCGTGGGGGTACCTTTGAAAGGGGGTCTCAGTCTTTTTTGTTTAAATTATTAAAAAGAAAAAAAAAACAAAAACAAAAACAAAAAAAACAAAAACAAAAACAAAACAAAACAAAATAAAACAAAACAAAAATAAAATTGCATGTTACTGCTTTCCGAAAACCGAAGACGCTGTGTAGCACTATAGCCCACTGTTCATGATTAGAGATTCATATATTGTTAGAAATTGGGCGCCTATGTTGCATGACCCTTTTCTGAACCTTTTGAACCTTATCTAAATAAGTTTGAATTTGAATTCAAAACCTATTTGGATAACCACTCAGGATATCTATATCTATCATATCAACTAATATGGATAGATGACATAGATATCTTATATATCTGATATAACTGATATGGATAGATTTATTATTATCCAATATATCTGATATAATATGGGATATGGGTGATTAAGAGAATAATAACGTACGTCGTATGTTTTACCCATATACTGACTCTCTCCTAAAATACAATAATTAAGGTAAAAGTTTTTAATAAAATTTTTAAATTAATAGTAAATTTTATTAATTTTAATAATTATAATTATTTTTAAAAAAATTTATTAATATTTTATGATGATACCACTAATTTGTAATTTTTCACATTATTCTTTGAACTTGTCGGTACATGTTGTATTATAATACTTACAAATTAACATAGATAAGGGAACGGATTGTAAATATAATTTTAAAAATAGATTGTTAATTTTTTTAAATAATAAGATAATAAAATCGTATGATTATAGTTATCAGATTAATATTTTTTCATAATTGATTACACAAAAACTTAAACCCAAGTAAAACAAAAAAACATCCAATCCACATTAGTAAATTGTAGAAAATCCCAACCCTAATTGAGATTACTATGTACTCGAATTTTTCCTCTTTTCGTTGATGGCATCAATTAATCACCGACACTTGTGTGTAAACAAACTATAAACTTGCACTAGTGACCAAACATCACAATACTCTGCTATGGCATGTATAACATTATTAAAGTAGGTCCTTTTTAAATTTCATAAAAATATGTGTATATATAATAAATTTTTTATTTTGCTTATCAAAATAAATAAATAAAATTTTATTTATTTATTTTGACGAATTAGATGTGTATAATATAATAAAATTTTATATATTTATTATGATATCTTTAATTACAAAAATAATATTATCACATCATTTTCGAATAAAATTCTGTATAAAAATTCTTATAAAATAGCATTTTCCTTACACACACACATTGTTAAAAAAAAGAAAAGAAAAGAATCATTTGGGACTATAGGATATCTTGAAATCTAAGATAATTTTTTTTGATTAGTTTTACCTAATTAAGATCATTATATTTGGTGAGTTTAGTTAGCCCTGATTTGACATTTGTATCGGAGCTAAATAATTATAAAAAGACAAAATATACTATGTAAGTTAATGAGACAAAATACTATTTTTTATCCATAATCATTTCATTTTTTCTCTCACAAAAATAAAAAAAACCTCAAAACAAAAATTAAACAAAGCTAAAAAAGTTAGGTCAAAAAAGTCTTAACATAAAAAGTTGGCTAAAAAACTCAATACCAAACAAACCCTAAATAAGTTTTGTCAATTATTTAGTGCAGTTGAATTGGTAAAGCATACATGTCCCATGTTGTTGGTAGAACTATTTAAACCGACTCTTCCACCAAATTTGAGAACTCTATATCCATGAATAGGTTAGTGACTTGTCATTGTCTTCCGAAGTAAAATGATTACTAGCTTTAATAAGCCTCGTTTGGAAAGTGGGTTGCTTTTTTAACTTTCTAATTTTTTTGACTATTTGAGTTTAGGCTCAAAAGCATAGTTTGGGAAAGATTTTTTGACTTTTTAAATTTTTTTTTGTGAGAGAAGAGTGTAATGATTATGGGTTAGATGTGATGTTTTGTCTGTTATGACTCAAATAGCCTATTCTGTCTTTTGTGGTTCAAAGAGCCAAAAGAGTCCAAATGAGCTCTTCTCAAATGACACCGAACTCTAATGAGTTTTAATGGAAGTAAATCTTATTATGATGTGATATTTTAATCTTGATTTTATTTTTTTTTTATTTTTTTATTTTTTTTACATCATTAGAGCTCAATTAAAATTTCAAAATTAAAAAAATATATCATTGCTCGTCTTTCAAAATCCTTTTCAAGCGACTTTTTTGTTCATAATTGCTAGGGGAAAAGTTCAACATTTTACGCTTTTCTCCATTTTGGAGTTTTTTTAGTTGTTCTTTTGGAGTCATAACATACCCAATATATAATCAACTTTTTCCACATCCACACAGAATGTCCAAATAATATCATTTTTTATTTGTATAATATACAGTATCTCCCGCCTAGCACAATTTAATTGAGTCTGAGTTATCTCATATTTAGATAACTAAAAATTAAACCCTAAAGGCCTTAAAATTAAAAATAATGTTATATACACTAATTAGTATATTAACTAGTATATCAATTTATGAAGTGACACAATTTAAGATATTTTTTGTATTTATAATTTGTATAATGAGTGGGTCAATAATAATGTCATAATTAGTATTGGTACACTAATTAGTATACTGATTAATTCATGTAACATTACCGTAAAACTAAAGATTAGACAAACCTTTAGTAACTCTTTGAAATATTCGAACTCAAGACTTTTAACGTTATTCTCATAGCCCAATTGGGAAATAATATCAATTAAATGCACAAACAATGAGAAATCATATAATTTTATTTGAAAATTACATACAAACAAATTTTTTATACAAAAAGTTCATTTAAAATGATGGAAGGGTAGTGCAATTTTTTAAAGGAATAAACAAAAATAAGCACAAAGGCCATGTTTGTCCTTTCCCTTGGTGAGAGTGGAGAATGAAAAAAAATGCATGTATTTGGTTTGGGAAACTTTTAAAAACAGAACGGAAAATTTTGTTTTTAGTTTTGTAAATAGTTCTGCCAGAATTTCAGAGTATCTTGAGCAATTTCTTCTTCTTTTTTATTCATATATAAGAGTATAATAAAACTTAATAAAATATACTCGTAATAACAAAAACCAAATATACCACTTAATTAATATAAAGAAACTTTCAAAGTGTGAGAGAGAAAGCCGATAAATATAAGTGGAATAAGACCAAATACAAGTGAAAATTTTCAAATCACCGACCTCTTAGTCAAATGTAAAAGTTATAGCCAAATAGGCTGTTGGTTTTTCAAGAATGATTAAGAGAGCAAAATAGATTATAATATACCTTGCAACAAAATTGTGGCAAAAAGGGAAGAGTAATTAAAAAAAAATACTAGGCATCCAAATGTTTTATCAAATATTTTAGTAAATGTCTTATATGGGTGGGACTCACACCATATAAGACATTTGATAGAATATTTAGTAAAATATTTAAAATTCCTATCATTTCTCGTAATTAAATGATGCATCTAAAAGGCAAAATGATAACTTCAAACACAGTGGGTCAGGCTCTATTAATTCTGTAATTATTATTATTGTGTTGATTTAGTGATACAAAACTATTAAACAATTATTCTTTGCATTTTGGCTTTTATTTTAAAGTTTCCATATAATTCCTAAACATCAGATCATTCACCAAACCTTGGTTTATATAGTTTAGGCCCTCCACCCAACATCCACTTAAAAAAAAAATTAAGATTTTAGTGATGAAAATTTACGAACAAAATTATTTTTTAAAGACCAAATAATTTTGTTGTGAAAAGTATCATCATTATATTTTTAGTAACAAAAATTAGACATTAGTGATGAATTATTATCCTTTTTAGACCAAATTTTTTTCTCAAAAAATAAATCATTTTGAGACAAAATTATTTTGTCCCTTTTTAGGACGATTTTTTAGCGACTATCCTCATGATGATAGAAATGGATTCCTAAATATCTTTTGCAATAAAATTTTTACTTTTAGAAATCAAAATATTTGATTTGTAAAACTCTTAAATGTTATAATGATCATTGATTTTGGATTAAATGTCATTTCGAAGATAATATATCAGAGCAGATAAAAAATCATATGTTTGATTTTTACCTTAGTAGCTTAAGTTTAAATAATACATATCAGCTAATATTCAAATTATGATAATCAATAGCGGACAAAAATGAGCTTAATCAGCCCCTACACCAAAAGCAAATAGCGGGTTGAGTGTCTACCAATTTTAAGAAATCGTTTAGGAATAGATTTTTTTAGTAATTTTTAATTTTTTTGACTAAAATATGATTAAAGAAATTAATATGTTTGTGATAACTTTTTAATTTTTTACGAAAAAATATACAAAAAATAGAAAAAAAAATTGAAATCTTTGATTTTTTTTTTGTATAAATTATTGATTTTTTAATTTTTTAGTGACTTTTTTACTTTTAAACTAAAAAGTAATGTTACCAAATGAGCCATAAATATCCTCCGTTATGTATGAGAATATATGACGGATAGCCATTAATATATAATCGTATCGTCCATATTGATATATATTATGATGCTGTTATCTAATCATAATCGAAGTGAAAATAATTGTTACCTTGACATTTCCAGCTTCCTTGATGGCCTCAACAAGCTTGAGTTGCACCAAGATGTTGTGACTCCGGAAGTGCACACCGGACATGGTGCAAATGACCACGTCGGCTAGTTTCACTGCATCGACAAGGCTCTGGTGATCGGAAAACGAGGCTTCAACAAGCCGAGCTCCTTGCTCTTTCAAGGAGAGCAATATCTGGAGCTTATCCATGTCAAGGCCAATCTCAGGCCTCTGAAGGACATAGGTTGTGTGTCCTAAGGCTAAACTGGCCTTAACAATCCTCCTACCAATGTACCCTGTACCCCCCACTACAAGAACTTTGCTCTTTCCCATTCTCTCTCTCTCTCTCTCTCTCTCTCTCTCTCTCTCTCTTTTTGGCTTCAAAAGGGTCAGAGATCCATGGACTTTATATAGAAATTTGGTCGTGACTTGTTCTTCATTTCTTGGTATTTTTTTAATATCAAATGTATAGTGAAAGTTACTCTATAGTTGGTGCCCCAATATTTTAACAAAAAATAAAATAAAAAAATAAATTTTTTTAATGAAGGTTTATTGGCTTTGACATCACGACCGGCTTGAGCATGAGGTAACTAAAGCTAGTGCTTTAGGCCTCAAATTTTAGAAAGCATCAAAATTTTGGAAAATTTTTAAAGGACCTTAAATTTTAAAGTTTTCTAATTTTTCATTATTAGTTATAGTTTTTTTTTTTTTAATCAGCAAAGAAGTAAAATTTTATTAGATAAATAAAACATTACAAGAAAGAGAGGGAAGCAAGAAAAAGTATCAAATTGGAAAAGCCAAAAGACTTAAATCCAATTCGATACAATACTTAGTTTGCAAGAAGCCAACGAACATAAACACAACATCCAAAATAAATCTTAAACTCCTACTACACCCAACACACGGGTAGTTTCTTTCATCTAAAAATTGTTCAAGTTCTCCAAAGTACTTTCACTTTGAGAGTATTGATATTTCATTTTGAATTGTTTTTTCAAGGTTACATTTTTTGTTGTTGTAATTTCCTCATTTATTACTCGTTGGTACACCTTCATCTCTACAACTGGTAACCCAAACTTGGAAATTTCATCCTTTTGCAAAACACATCTTCGGATTTTACTTTTCCCTCGACACCTTGACGAAATAGAAATATTAGATTTTATAGACCCATCCAACTATTTCTTCATACATGAATTGGACTTTCCAGACCCACTCAAATCTTTTTTCGTACATGTTTTATCTCCCAAATCTTTTTTCAAAGATGAACCTTTGCAAACATCACATACCTTCTTTTCAACCTCACTATTAGAGTAACTCTCTGAAAATTGGCCACCACCTCAAACTGATTATGCAAATCCAAAATTTTGGGTTTCTCCTCTTGTTTGACGGATCTAATATGTGGTGGGTCTTCTTTAAAAAACAAATTTATGTCCTTCGATTTTACCACTTTATTTGTAGAAGGACTAATATTAGAAGAAAAAGATGACTGTGATTGAATGGGTTTTTTTTGGCTTATACACCCAAGACTTGGAATCTTGTTCTTGGTTGTTCTAAGAGTTTGGTCGAAACTTACCCCCTACTCCCATATTGTGAGGCCACCTATTCCTAACACTCACCATTTCAAAATTGAAATTTCTCACCTTGGGTGCATTGAAAATTGGTGTCGTTTTTCTAACACAGTTGTCGCGTATGTTTTGCTTCCAAAACCCATCCACTGTCAAACATCTCCGTCATACACCCTTCTATTCTTATCCTCCATCAAAACAGTCTCCACCGCCGTCTATTTTTGAGGATCTTGGCAACGCTCCAACCTAAACTTGTTTGCTGGAAATCCATCACCAACCTTGATGCAACCTTTCCTTCCTTTTCCATCATAGCCCTCTAGATCTTCATCCACCATCTTATTCTTGTCCTCAATCGATACATTCCCCACTGCCTCCTTCATCTCTACTAAGGTCACCGTCAAAATCGATCCTCCATCCCAAGTTTGATTATCATTCACTTTCAATCTTTGCTTGAGATTCAAAATTTCTCTTAAGAGAACCCCTCGCTTGAACCGCCACCACGTCTCTTGACTAAGCCACCTTTGCTCCTCCCGTAACCAGTGTTGCTCTTCATGCAACTATCGTTGCTCCTCCTATAACCACCACTCTTTTTCGCTTGCTTTTTGGGATCTAAAGGCCATCTCTGAACCTAACGTTGAAGTTTTCATCAGAAAACTCTTACATTCCCCCTGTATCTAACTCTATCCATGGTTAGAACTCCTTTTTCTTTCTCGTTAGATTTGATTCTTTTAGTTGGAGACCCAAAAAATCTAAACTTGGATCTAGTTTCACGCCCAATGGACGGTTTGAGAATTATAATTTATATTAGGGTTAGGTTTGAAATGATTATATAGGCCCCATGTTTGGTCCGGATGAGCTTGAACAAATACAAAATCCCTTATTAGGTAGTGTCGGCCTAACCCAAACCTGGCACGATGAATGACCTATCTTAAACTTATCAAATAAAAAAGGCACGACCATTTAAGTTTGGTTAAATTTTCTATGGAAAAGACTCTTCCAACACAGTCTGAGCCATAGGCTAAGCTGGAATAAGACTCAACTCATCAATATCAAGATAGTAATTCTAAGAAAAGGGTATTTACCACAATAAAAATGAGAATGAAATATGATCTTAATTTAGGAAACAAAGTGAAGAATTTGCAGATGTGGCCCAATAATTAAGGGGTTGAAGAAAGTGATATTAGTGTTACATAAAATATTTACTTGAATTTGAGATCTCTACTATGGGTAATTATGGGTAATTCTTGAGGCCTCTTGTTCCATTCTTAGAAGTGCAAAACACTCTGGTTTAACCAATACCCAATACACTTATGGTTTATAGTTTATTGCATGTATTGATAATTTATTAATAAAGTCTAGTGCTAAATGGCAGACTGAGTTTTAAAAATTAGGGGTTCTCAAAATTGGAGTTTTATGTACCTAAAAAATTTAGGGCTTACTAAAGACATTACAATCAATTAAAATCTAAAATAATCCATATAGATATGATGATTTCACAACACTAAATCGGATTATTACCATCATGATAGTAGATGGTAATAAAAACCCACAAAACCTTTCAAAGTCCATCCACTAATCAATAACAAACTAAAAAACAGAGAGAGAACCAGATATATAACACAATGCCAAAACCTTTAAATACAACAACCACTCTCAAACCCAATTCAAAAAACACTATATACAACTAGCTACCTAATTTTAGTTTAAATTGTTCCAAATACATACACATTAATGATTAGAAATGATTGTAAGAAAAGCTAAATCTAGGAGTAACAACTAAAATAGCAGAAACACTGAACATCTAGAAAGACAATGAAACAAATACATTCAATCTGACCACTAATCAAATGGATACGCATAGAAAGAAAGCAAATCAAAAATCAAAACGAAGATGAACATATAATATATATATATATATATAGAGAGAGAGAGAGAAAGAGAGAGAGAATACTCGATCGGACCACAACCAAACTTATAAGGGAAAACAAAATTAAAATCACCTCAAGGTGGAGGCAATGCAAGAGAGGAGGAAGCAAACCTGGTGGTGGAGGAAATACGAGAGAAAAGGCAATAAAACTGGTTTTGATCGGTAACGGAACAAGGGACGAAGTGAATGGAGATGGTGGCTAGGGCTTTGTTATAACAACCCCGACCTCTGATTAATATGTAATCCATGATTAATCTATGATTAAGAATGCTTAATAAGTAATTAAAGTGAAATTTTGCATTCATTACGTGTGTTATGTGTTATATGAGTTTCTGTATGTTCTGTGTAAAAATATCTGTCTTGGGTTTTGTTATATTCTGTAAATTGAAGGCCTTATCGGCATCCGATCATGAAATTGACTTGGTTTTTGTGTTCGTTGGAATTTTTAGAATTTTATGATAGGTTTAATTAAAATTCGGTTCAGAGCGATTAAATTAGAATAATGAATGTCCAATTGATTAGCTTGATCAAAAATTAATTAAGCCACTAACTAAGCCTATATAAGGCCAATATAACTCTTGATTTCTCTTATTCATCACTTCATTTGCACTTTGAGACCCAAAACGCTAAAGAGAGTGAGAGGCTAAGAAACTTGATATCAAACTTCAGGTAGAGAAAGTCATTGCTTGGAGACTTAAGGAATTGCTCAAGATTACCTCTAAATCTTAAGGGATTGAGAAGTTAATGTGAGAATTCAAGCCTTAGGTCTTGCTTTTTAGTTGGTAAATTCATGAATTCATGAGAATTGGGTGGATTACCATAAGTATTGGACTAGAATGAAGAAATATTGATCATACCATGGTTGTATGTTCATGTTCATCATAGTTTAAGTTGAAATTTCAAAGAATTGGTCATTGCATGGGTTCATTCTACATTTGTTTTAGAATTCATCTTGTTTTATATCATGTTATACCAAATGATCATGTTTTGGAAACCTTGAAGGCAATCATCACATGCATGTTATGATTTCAAAGATTTGAGTTTAGTTTTGAACAATTGGCAAGCTTTTGGGGCTTGATTTTGTGAAATGATTTAGAATTCACCATGTTTTATCCATTTACAAGTATTTCCTCAAGTTTTTGGCCCAAAAGACCATGAATTGCAGCTTTGAAATTGAGTTTTGCGCTTGGCAGAGTAATTTAGAAATTTCAGATTCTGCCTCTCTGCTCGAGCGACCAAAGGTTGGCTCGAACGTAAAATGCATGCTCCCAGAAGTTTACATGTTTTGTAGACCGCTCGAGCGACAAGAGTTACACTCGAAGGAGGACATAAGTCTCAGCTCAAGCGAGCATCGAGCGGAAATATCAAGCAACCAGTACTTCTGCAAAGTTTATAGACCACTTGAGCGAAGAAAGTTGCGCTCGAGCAACCACTCACATTTTTCATGTCCGCTCGAGCGAAGGAAGTTGCGCTCGAGCGAGACTCCTGTTTTCAGCAAGTTTTGTTAAATATGTTCAAGTGCATTTTGGCATCCACATTGCATCCTAGGCATTCCTAAGTCATGATTAAGACTCAATAAGAGGTTAAGACATAGAAACACACTAAGATCGAAACGAAAGAATTTATGTACCAACTGAGTGTATGTTTCATTATATGCTTCTGTTATGTGTGTGTAGGTCACGCGCCACAAGTTATCTGATTTGTTTGTTTTGCAAGTGGAGCCATCTATGAGTAATAACTTTGTAAAGCTATGTTCACATTTAAGTATTTTCCTATATGATATGACAAGAAATGAGCAGCTTTCTGGAATGCTATGTTCTGTATCAATGAATGAATGTCCAACTTTTGACAAGTGTTCGTGGCATCCTTAGCACAAGGCCCTTGTTCGGGGGTAATAATACCATGGTCTACAAGTGCAAGGCCCTTGCCCGGGGGTAACAATACCGTGGTCTCATGGCCCTTACCCGGGGGTAATAATACTGTGGCTCAAGTATCTTACAAGTTTCCCGGTACCGGAGGTTCCTTATGGAACTGACAAGCATGATAATGCTAATGGATGTACCATGTATGATGAAGCATGAATTCTGATTTCTGTACGTAGTTTGAACAAGAATATGAATATAAATCTATTCCTGATATGAACTATAATTTCTGAATTTGCTATGGACATCATTCATTTAAACCCCTTACTTTGTTATTATTCATTGGGCTCCCGTTCACTATTTATTTTATGTATATAGGTGAACAAGCGCGTGACCAGGCCTAAGCCGCTGTCTGGAGTGTTTTGGGTCAGCCAGCCACTGTGCCTCCCGAGGAGGTTCCTTTTTGAGATATCTAGTTTCGTAACCTTGCTACAGATGTTTTTGTTTTGTTTTGCTTTTCAGTACATTGGGCTAAGTTCCCTTTTTGGCTTCATCTGTGTATATGGTGATGTAAGACTAATGTATTTATGATGTGATATATATATATATATATAAGTTTGTTTTAAAGTTTTCTATCTCATATATGTTAACACAACTCTATGGACAATGTATATTTCTATATTTGCTTCCGCAACCCCTTATTATATATCATTCTGTTAAAAGGCCTTTGGTAATCCAAGGATTACTGGCCGGTTACAATGCTAAACCTATAGGGGCGGGTTTGGGTCCTGATAGAGTGGTATCAAAGCACGCATTTTACTACACACACGAGTCCATATGAGCTATATGATGTCCTAGAAAAGAAGTGGGGGTATTCATGTGTATGTGTGAGTGTGTGAATTGATTACTGTGATAACTGGATCAGAACATGAACTCAACTTGACCTCTCGTAATGAAACAAATGAACTGAAACTGAACATTCTGAACATTGTGGAAGGGTTTACTCACTTGTGTTTATTATTGTTGTGTTTACCTATAGCTAATGGAGAATGCAAGAAGTAATGATGCAAGTGAATCCTCAAAGGCTCGCATGAGCCAAATGGAGCAAATGATTACCGCTCTAACTGAAGCAATAACACAACAACAAAGACAACAACCGATGCCTCATTTGCCTCATTTGGCCCAAGTTGAATTGGATAATAATGATATCACCAACTTAACTTAGAAATTCATGAAGATGAAATCACCAACTTTCGCAGAGACATAGTTACTTGAAATGGAGAAGTTATATGAAGTGTTCCCCTGTACTGAGACTCTGAAGGTTTTATTAGCCACTTACACTCTTAAAAATGAAGCTCGGAGATGGTGGTTATTAATCCGAAATAGTAATGGGAATATGACCTGGGCTCAATTCAATGAGATCTTCTACAACAAGCATTTTCCCCAATGCTTTAGAGAGCGAAAAGTTTCTGAATTCCAAGAACTTAAGCAAGGGAAGATGTCCGTAGCCGAGTATGAGACTAAGTTCATCTAGTTGGCCAGATTTGCTCCTCATATGGTCGATACATATTACAAAAAAGATTAGAAATTTGAACGGGGATTAGACTTAGAAGTGTTTGACTGAGTAGGTGTATTGAAATTACTTACATATGTAGAAGTACTTGATAGAGCGCTGATGGCAAAACCCATTCTGACAGCAAAGAAACAAGCTACAACTCCAACAATTGAATGGGGAGTAAAAGGACTGGATTCAATTTCAAGAAGGGCCGATCATTTTCGAAAAAGCAAAATACTGGATCGTCAAGTAGCTCAAGCCAAAACAATAGGTCTATGTCAGTTTGTCTAGAATGTGGAAAGAAGAATAGGGGCATGTGTCACCGTGCATCTGGTGTTTGTTTTCGATATGGAAAGACAGGCCACATGATTAGAGATTGCCTGATGAGACTCAATACGACTACCCGTCATGCGGCAAGTTCAGCCGGATTTGCTCCTGCACCAAGAACGAATGTGAGAGCCAACACTGGGGGACAAACTTTGAGACAAGGCTGTGTTTTTGTATTAGTACCTGGAGATGTACAGAATACTGAGTCAGTGGTGTCAGGTATAATCTCTATTTGTGCTCGGAATGCCTATGTACTGATTGATTCTAGTTCCATGCATTCATTTGTATCGCATACTTTTTCTCAAAAATTAACTAAACCGTTAGAACCTCTGAACTGTTTACTATTTGTATCTACGTCGTCTGGGGTTCTATGATATGTGCTTATGTTTGTCCGGCATGTGATATTGTGATTGGTGATATGACATTGTATGTTGATTTGCTGCCCTTGAACATTGATCATTTTGACTGTATTTTGGGTATGGATTGGTTGACTAAATAATGTGCCACCATTGACTGTGCGAGTAAATCTGTTGTGTTTAGACCACCTAGTGTGCCTGAGTTTTTTTTTTTTTTACTGGAAATGGGGTAGTTCCTCCGCCATATTTGATTTCATTTATGAAAGCTAGAAAATTATTAAGAAAAGGTTGTCGCGGCTACTTGTGTTGCGTGTAGACTGTGTCTTCGGATAGTGTTAGTATGGAAAATATTCCCATGGTCTGTGAATTTCCCAATATATTTCCTAATGACCTACCTGGAGAGTTAATTGACAGGGAAATTGAGTTCACCATTGATGTAGTACCCGGGACACAACTAATTTCTAAAACCCCATACATAATGTCCATTTTTGAATTGAAAGAATTGAAAACTCAACTACAGGAACTATTAGACAAGAAATTTATCCGCCCGAGCACTTCGCCTTGGGTGCTCTAGTGTTATTTGTCAAAAAGAAAGATTGATCATTAAGGCTATGCATAGACTACTGGGAGTTGAACAAAGTGACTGTCAGGAATAAATACCCACTACCCCAAATAGATGACCTATTTGACCAACTCTAGGGAGTCCAAATGTTTTCTAAAGTTAACCTTAGATTCGGGTATCACCAGTTAAAGGTCAAGGCAAAAGATATAGAGAAAATTGCATTCAGAACTAGATATGGGCATTATGAATTCTTAGCCATGCCATTTGGGGTAACTAATGCATCTGCGGCATTCATAGACTTAATGAATGGAGTGTTCAAATAATTCCTTGATGAATTTATTGTTGTATTCATGGATGATATATTGATCTATTTTAAAAGCAGAGAAGAACATGAAAATCATTTGAGAATTGCTTTACAGACCCTAAGCGAAAAAAAGTTATATGCAAAATTTTCTAAATGTGAATTTTAGCTTGACAGTGTGGCATTTTTGGGGCATGTAATCAACAAGGATGGTATCTCCATTGACCCGTAGAAAATTGAAGCCATTGTGGAGTGACCTAGACCAACAAATGTATCAGAAGTTTGAAGTTTTCTGGGACTTACATGCTATTATCGCAGATTTGTGAAAGATTTCTCAAAACTTGCTATGCCATTGACGCAATTGACATAGAAAAATGTACCATTTGATTGGAATGATCAACGGGGAGTCAATCTTTCAGGAACTAAAAATTAGATTGGTAACTGCACAAATTTTGACCTTGTCTAATGAAACCGATGGGTTTCAAATTTATAGTGATGCTTCCTACAAAGGTTTGGGCTGTGTGTTAATGCAAAATGGAAAAGTAATCGCTTATGCCTCTCGACAACTCCGGCCTCATGAAAAGAACTATCCAACCCATGACCTTGAATTAGCAGATGTAGTATTTGCCTTAAAAATTTGGCAACATTATCTATACGATGTGACTTGTGAAGTGTATATTGATCATAAAAGCCTCAAATATTTCTTCACCCAAAAAGAACTGAATATGAGACAGAACCAATGGCTTGAGTTGACCAAGGATTACGACTTGCAGATTTTGTACCATCCAGGGAAAGCTAATACCGTTGTAGATGCCTTGAGCCAGAAATCCATGGGTAATTTGTCATGTTTACTCACCGGTCAGAAGAAGTTAATATATGATCTAGAAAAGAATGAGATTGAAATTGTACTACGTAAACAAGTTGGGATCTTAGCTGCCATTTCTACTCAACCTGCAATCATTGAAGAGATTAAAGAGAAATAACATGAAAATGAATTCTTGAAGAAAAGTTTTGATGAAATTGGCTCAAAATCGAGGCCCGGATTCGTGATTAAAAATGATGTGTTAAAATTTCAGATTAAATTGTGTACCAGATTGTTCTGATTTAAGGAAACGTGTTATAACCGAAGCTCACAATTCAAAATTTGTCATGCATCCAGGAAATACAAAGATTTACCATGACATGAAACCGAATTTCTGGTGGCCTGGAATGAAAAAGAGCATTGCTGACTTTGTGGCTAAATGTTTGCACTACCAACAAGTTAAAGCTGAACATCAACGACCTGCTGGACTGCTTCAGCTGCTTCCAATACCGTAATGGAAATGGGAGCATATCACCATGGACTTCATTGTGAGTTTGTCTCGCTTTTCTCGAGATATGGATTCCATTTGGGTCATTGTTGACCGATAGACTAAGTCTGCTCATTTTCTGCTTGTTAAAACTATTTATAATGCGAACAAGTTGGCTAATATTTATATAAATGAGATTATGAGATTGCATGGTGTGCTAGTATTTATTGTATCTGACAGAGATTTGAAGTTTATGTTGAGGTTTTGGAAAAGTTTATAACAGGCTTTAGGAACTGAACTGGGACTAAGTAGTGCCTACCATCTACAGACAGACGGTCAATCTGAATGAACCAATCAGACTTTAGAAGATATGTTATGAATGTGTGCCCTAGATTTCCAAGGAAATTGGGAGACTTACTTACCGTTGGCCGAGTTTGTGTATAACAACAGCTACTATTCGAGTATCGATATGGCTCCGTATAAAGCTTTGTACAGTAGGAAATGTCGCTCTCCGATTTGTTGGGCTGAGGTGGGTGAAAGACCTTTGTTAGGGCCGAAACTTATGCAAGAAACAACCGAAAAAGTGAAATTGACTCATCAACGTCTGAAAATTGCACAGAGCCGTCAAAAGAGTTATGCCGATGTCCGAAGGCATGATAGAGGATATGAAGTCGAAGATCATGTGTTTATCAAAGTGACTCCAATGAAAGGGCAGACATGGTTTGGAGTGAAAGGTAAGTTGGCACTGAGATATGTTGGGCCTTATGAAATCCTAGAGAAAATTAACCCAGTGACGTATCGGGTAGCCTTGCCTCCAGTCATGGAAAATATGCATAATGTCTTTCATGTTTCAATACTTCGAGGCTATTTGAGAGATCCATTCCATGTTCTTAAGCCGACGCATATACTTTTGAAGGATGATTATACGTATGCAGAACGTTCAATTCAAATCGTTAACCGAAGAATCAAGAGATTGAGAAACAAGAAAATTCCATTGGTGAAAGTCGATTAGCAGAATCATGGAGGTACGTATGCTACATGGGAAACTGAAGAAGATATAATGAAGAGATATCTAGATTTATTTCTGTTAGATCAAACGTTCTTCCAAAATGAAGGTACTTCGAGTTTGGAGGATCAAACTTTTTAAGGGGGGAAGACTGTAATAACCCCGACCTCTAATTAACATGTAATCCATGATTAGGAATGCTTAAAGAGTAATTAAAGTGAAATTTTGCATTCATTACGTATGTTATGTGTTATATGAGTTTCTATCTGTTCTGTGTAGAAATATCTGTCTCGGGTTTTGTTCTATTCTGTAAATTGAAGGCCTTATCGGCATCCGATCATGAAATTGACTTAGTCTTTGTGTTCGTTGGAATTTTTAGAATTTTATGGTAGATTTAATAAAAATTCGGTTCAGAGCAATTAAATTAGAATAAGGAATATACAATTGATTAGCTTAATCAAAAATTAATTAAGCCACTAACTAAGCCTATATAAGGCCAATATGACTCTTGATTTCTCTTACTCATCACGTCATTTTCACTTTGAGACCCAAAACGTGAGAGAGAGTGAGAGGCTAAGAAACTTGAGATCAAACTTGAGGTAAAGAAGGTCATTGCTTGGAGACTTAAGGAATTGCTCAAGATTACCTCTAAATCTTAAGGGATGAGAAGTTAAGGTGAGAATTCAAGCCTTAGGTCTTGCTTTTTAGTTGGTAAATTCATGAATTCATGAGAATTTAGTGGATTAATATTAGTATTGGACTACAATGAAGAAATATTGATCATACCATGCTTGCATGTTCATGTTCATCATAGTTTAAGTTGAAATTTCAAAGAATTGGTCATTGCATGTGATCATTCTACTTTTTTTTTGAGAATTCATCTTGTTTTATATCATGTTATACCAAATGATCATGTTTTGGAAGCCTTAAAGGCAATCATCACATGCATGTTATGTTTTCAAAGATTTGAGTTTAGTTTTGAACAGTTGGCAAGCTTTTGGGGCTTGATTTTGTGAAATGATTTAGAATTCACCATGTTTTATCGATTTACAAGTATTTCCTCAAGTTTTTGGCCCAAAAAATTGTGTTTTACAGCTTTGAAATTGAGTTTTGCACTTGGCACAGTAATCTGGAAATTTCAAATTCTGCCTCTTTGCTCGAGCGACGAATCCTGCGCTCGAGCGACCACTCTATGTTTTGCACCTCCGCTCGAGCGACCAAAGGTTGGCTCGAGCGTAAAATGCATGCTCCCAGAAGTTTACGTGTTTTGTAGACCGCTCGAGCAACAAGAGTTGCGCTTGAGCGAGGACATTAGTCTCACGCTCGAGCGAGCATCGAGCGAAAAAATCAAGCAACTAGTACTTTTGCAAAGTTTACAGACCGCTCGAGTGAAGAAAGTTGCACTCGAGCAAGACCCCTGTTTTCAGCAAGTTTTGTTAAATATGTTCAAGTGCATTTTAGCATTCACATTGCATCCTAGGCCAAGATTAAGACTCAATATGAGGTTAAGACCTAGAAACACACTAAGATCGAAACGAAAGAATTTATGTGCCAACCGAGTGTATGTCTCATTATATGCTTCTGTTATGTGTGTGTAGGTCATGCGCCACAAGTTATCTGATTTGCTTGTTCTGCAAGTGGAACCATCTATTAGTAATAACTTTGTAAAGCTATGTTCACATTTAAGTATTTTCCTATATGATATGACAAGAAATGATCAGCTTTCTGGAATGCTATGTTCTGTATCAATGAATGAATGTCAACCTTTTGACAAGTATTCGTGGCATCTTTAGTACAAGGGCCTTGCCTGGGGATAATAATACCGTGGTCTACAAGTACAAGGCCTTTGCCCGGGGGTAACAATATCGTGGTCTCATCGCCCTTACCTGGGAGTAATAATATCATAGGTCAAGTATATTACAAGTTTCCCGGTACCGGAGGTTCCTTATGGAACTGACAAGCATGATAACACTAATGGATGTACCATGTATGATGAAGCATGAATTTTGACTTCTGTATGTAGTTTGAACAAGAATATAAATATAAATCTATTCTTGATACAAACTCTGATTTCTGAATTTGCTATGGACATTATTCATTTAAACCTTTTACTCTGTTATTATTCACTGGGCTCCCGTTCACTATTTATTTTATGTATGTTGGTAAGTAAGCGCGTGGCTAGGCCTAAGTTGCTGCCTGGAGTGTTTTGGGTCAGTCAGCCACTGTGCCTCCCGAGGAGATTCCTTTTTGAGATATCTAGTTTCATAACCTTGCTACAGATGTTTTTGTTTTGTTTTTCTTTTCGATGCATTGGGCTAAGTTCCCTATTTGGCTTCATCTGTGTATATGGTGACGTAAGACTAATGTATTTATGACGTCATATATATATATATAAGTTTGTTTTAAAGTTTTCTGTCTTATATATGTTAACACAGCTCTATGGATAATGTATATTTCTATATTTGCTTCCACAACCCCTTATTATATGTCATTTTGTTAAGAGGCCTTTAGTAATCCAAGAATTACTGGCCAGTTAAGACGCTAATCCTATAAGGGCGGGTTTGGGTCATGACTGTAGCCCGACTTTTTTGCGCCCGCTTTCGAAAGTTCGAAATAAGCCATACAGTTTGGACTCCCGCGGTTCTGAATCTAATCTCACAAGTGCAATGTGAAATTGATAAACACCACAGAGTCCAAATTCGGTAAATCTTTTGAAAAATCGATTTTGAATCAAATTGTCAAAAATATACTGTTTTGCCTGATACAGAGTCGCCACCTAAGTATTTTATTTGGGAAATTTAGGAAACTTATGACTCGTGCCAAAGGCCACGTGTCCGTCATCACCAAGATTGTTTCGGTTCGGGAACTTGGATAAGATAGGGGAAGGTCATGAATACTTTTGAACACCCCCGTTCACCTGATCAAAGATTGGTCTCTACTAATCATGATATGATTTTTATCAACATTATATGCTCTTGTTCCGGTTATTAGACTAGCATTACTATGTAATGTGCACACACACAAGTATAGACTAAATTTGCAAGAATTAGAACGTTTCGAGTCATGTTTGTTTTGAAAATTGTTTCAAAATATATGCCACTTGAAAAAGTGATCACATATGAACATTACTCAAATTATTTCAATCCAAGCAATAAGCCTTCATCCACAGGCATACAAGTAGTTTATCATTTAAGCACTTAGCCTCATGGTAAGCATACGAAACATGGCAACATCAACACACTCATGCAATTATGCTAAAACGAGTAAATGCTCACCTAGTACTCTAAGTCAAAAAAGAGAAATGAGTTAGAAAATGCATGATCCTAACTTATGTAATATGACTAATGCAACACATGCGATATGTAATCTAAATAAACTCAACTACTTAACATGGCATATGAAACAATTTGATAACATGCGGTCTAAGCACGTATTCAAAAAAGTATTGAACTAACAATGCAGTTAGAATGATGAATTGAGCCTCAATGCATGCAATACAAATGGATGCAAACATGAAGAATGCTAATTGAAATATGATGTCTCTAAACTAACCATCATAAGCTAGTAAATAAAAGGAAGAAAGACGTGGGGTTGGAAGACATACACATTATTACATTGCGCTCTCACGAAGGAGAGTCCGAATGAATAAACTAGCTAACTGGCTAATTAAAGCTAAGCTAATTAAGCTAACTATTACAAACCAAAATGAATAACTAGATAAACTACTTAACTAAATATTACAATACTTGAATTAACTAACTAGTTTAGTTAACTAATTAATTACAAATGAATTGAATAACTAATTAACTAACTAATTAGTTACAACACATATCAAAATTAATTAGCTACAACTAATTAATTACAACAAATAACTAGGCTAAGTATTTGAACTAAACAAGCTTAAGATGCGAAGAATGCTCATGTTCATGCTCGGTTTTCACCCGAAAAGTCGCTATTTTGCTTCTGAATGCCTCTGTTTGCACAATTGAACACCAACATTGCTGCCCAATTCTAGAACAACTCTATCCCACCTTACCAACATATTGCTAAATTTTACATCAGTGGCTGGCCGGCTACTGGTAAAGACAGCTGGCCACCAGTGATGGCCGGTCGGTCATCAAAGGTGGTCTGTCGGCCACCTGTCAGCCTTGGAAAGTGGCTTGCTGGCCACTGCTACAGAGATTCATCTTGTTGTAACAGAGGAAAAGCAGATCATATACAGGGTATTTCCAGGGCTTGTTTGCACAACTCACCCATTCTTTTCATGAGCAAATCAAAGTAGTAGCAAGTTTGGTTCACAAACCATCAATAGATGTAATTTCATTACATGATGGCTTGTGAAACCAAGTGTGCAAGCTCAATAAATGCACAACAAGACACAAACCTCTTCCTTTTCATGAAAGATCAAGGAAAGTGATGACCTTGGGACTTGAATCATTTCATCACTAATGAGTATGAAATGGTCCAAGTTTTATGTGTTCAATTAACGTTTGATTGAACACAACTAAATTATTATCTTCCTCACTTTTAATCCCAAGTTTTAGTTACTCATTTTAATTTACCAACCATTCTTTAATCCAATTAATTCCAATGGTGAATTAAAGTCGTCTAATGGAAAAATGGCTCAAAACACAAGTTGCTTTGGATATGAAAGAAGCATCATACCGTTGGTAATGAACCCCATAAGGGATTAAACCATTAAGTATGAAGCTTCAATTTCATACTTGGACAAGTGACTTGAAGCCACTTTCAAAGAAAAATAAAACTCAAGAATGGAGGGAGATTGCAGAGATTATTAAGTGCTGAAAATGAGTGAGAAAAACATAAATAAATGCTATCAACTCAAATAAGATGGTGTCTAAGACCTAGAACACCAAACTTATGAGGACTATTACACTATAAGCATGCAAAATAAAGCTCAAATGCAACCAACAGCCCAAAATAGTGGTAAAACAGTCTAAAATATGTCCTAAAACATGCTAGAATTCAGCTAAAACAAGCTAAAG